AGAAAGAAAGAAAGAAAGAAAGAAAGAAAGAAAGAAAGACAGACAGACAGACAGACAGACAGATAGATAGAATTTTTTGGTGTTTACCGTGTTGTTGGGATGGTAGTTCAGATGTAGGCCACTGTCACACAATGGAGACGATGTTCCACTGCTCTGGTCACTTGGTATACCTAAAAAAAAAATAAAACAAACAGGTAAAAAAATGTTTTTCATTGTAAATTTTACTGTACACTTTGACACTGTAGGATCTATATTAACCGGTGAATGTAGCGTGTCCAAACCCAGACGTACATGAGCAGTCTTCACACAGTGGCAGTTTGAGAAATGCAGGCGTCCTCTTCAGGAAAGACACAGTCAGGGTCACTTCCTCACCTGCGTTTCGCAGAACCTGCACCTGAGAGCAGAAAACATGCTTGCTTATTCATTTATTAGAATGGATGTGTCACTCATTTTGTTATAATTAGTCAAGCTTTTAAAGGGTGAGTCAAAATTACTGACACGCTTCTGCTAAAAAATTGAACACAGTGCTGAAGATTACTAACCCGTTCATTGCTTTGTAAAAACAGCATTGCTTGAACTGAATTATTACACAAAAAGATGAAACATACCACTTCTTCATGGCGATAACTCCTCACGTTAATGCCGTTTATCTAATGACAACATTAGTAAAAGAGTAAACATTAGTAATAGAGTAATAAGAGGGAGTTATGAATAGATCCTGATATACACTTCCGCAAAGTTTGGGTTGGTAAGATTTTTTTAATGTGACTGAAAGAAGTCTCTTATGGTCACCAAGGCTGCATTTATTTGATCAAAAATACAGTAAAAACAGCAAAATTATGAAACATTATTACAATTTAAAATTACTGTTTTCTATTTGAATATATTTTCAAATGTAATTTATTCCTGTGATCAAAGCTGAATTGATCATGATCCTTCAGAAATCATTCTAATATGCTGATTTTTTTTTTCAGGATTCTTTGATGAATAGAAAGTTTGAAAGAACAACACTTATCTTTTGTAACATTAAAAATATTTTACTGTCACTTTTGATACATTTAATGCATCCTTGCTGAATAAAACTATTACATTTTTAAAACATTTGAACAGCAACAGCATGTAATCTATAAATCTTTTAATAATTAAAAATTGCTTCCACCAGAGATCTGAATCAGATCATATTTGAAGCTTCAATAATATTAAGGATAAAAAAAAATAATTTTAAAGACAGTCTATGTTAAATAAAGCTGACAGTCGAATACTATGGATGGATACTATGAATAATTCCCACATCTAAAACATGCCCTTCGTGTTCAGAAAAATATATACATAATTCAGATTGAATATATCATTGGAATAACACTGCTCCAAAATGACAACTCAAATGTCCATCAAAAGAAAGATGCTCCCTAAACATCTGCTGGCTGAAATTGAGTGAATTACATTAAGACACTGTGGGAGCTTTAAAGGGTCCCTAACACTGAAATTATCTTAATCTTATGACCCCATTTATGTATTTGTGCATACCTGGAGAATTCCATCTCCAATAAACAGAAGTCCGGAAAGTTCAGCTGCAAACGAAAGAAAAGACAAATGTATAAACCAATAAACAACTTGTTATTTTTGAGGAGAGGAGAGAGAGTAAATAAACAGCCTACTCTTCTGTTCTTTTGATATTTTAGATATAACAACAGGAATCTTGTGTTCAGCACCACCCTATGAAAAAATGATAACACAAAGACTTTCAAAGTCTTGCAAAAAATGTGAGAGCTGAGTGAAAGCTGTGAGAAACTGTGCAATCACCTTGATGCTCAACCCAAACCCTCCGACTGTCTGCCGACGGATCGTTACTGTTCTTTCCTGTAAGGAATCAAAGGAAACTCGTCACTTTCATGCCACACCGGGTCTGTGTGTTGAGGAAGACAGGTAGTTTACTTTTCATTTCAATTTGGTTCATGAAACTGTGAAGGTCCTTAATTAATTTGAATTGCCTCCTTTTCATGTAGATTTCCCGAGGGAAAAACGGCACCATGCCAACAATGCCAGTAACTTAATTAAAGGGCAGTGAATACAACATGATCTGTCTGCTTAAACCAGTGCTAAAGCTGCTGTCTGCTGTAGTGACAATGATAGATGCAATACAATGGTCAAAATATTCTCCCTCAAATGCCAGTGAAATACGCACTTGGCAGTTTCATTCTCTTTCAGACAATGATGTTGAAACAAAGGGGCACAGGTTAACCGGATTAAATATGAAATTGTTCAAAGCAAATTCCTACATTCCAGAGCTGAATAATGACTCAGTCGCAAAAAAAGGCAGAGCTGTTCTTTTCTTGCTGCACAAAAACATTTCAATGAAACAAACTCCAATAAAACTCACAGCTGTAATTAGCAAAGACTTCTTGAAATTACCAATAATGTATCTATCACCATTATAATTATACATAAAAAGACACAATCTAAAATAAATCAAAATGTTGACGT